ACCGCGTAGCATTATAACAGAGAAGCCATCTGCTGTGGGTTAAAAAAAGCTGCGCTGCTTTACCCCACATACGCACGACCGGAAGCGGTCGACTGTGGCATATTAAAAGCTCCGCTGCTTTCGAGGCGCGTGTCACACTCGTTCAGTGCCTCGTTTCGCTTCGACAGCTTTCAGCCTCACCCTGCTTCATTCTAGTACATTAATAAATCATTAGCTCATCCATGAACATGATTTCTGCCCAAGTCCCGTCAGATTGCATCGGCTGTGGGGATGAAGACCACAACTCCCATGATTCCACACTCAGTCACGGCGTCATCAAACTACTCCTTTGTTTCTTTGTTTGTTTTGAATACGCACCCTCTAGCGGCAAAAACTTACATATTGTGCCTTTAATGCAGCAGAACAATTAATATATTTAATTAAAAATCTTTATATGTAAAAAATGCCAGGCGTTTTGGCTTGATGTCTTTTAATAATGTAAACTTTTCCATGACCAAAATAACATTCACAAAGAGTTAATTCAGTTGTCAGAGAGATGTTACAACACATTACAAGAACAGAACAATAAAAACACAACTTATTTATATTTATAAAATATTTATTATAATTATATGTATGCTTCGCCCCAGATTCGAACCTAAAGTGGCAGGTTCTAACAGCATGCCAGTCCTGCACACTAACCACTCCCCCAACCCACATGGTGAAATGGCATATACGTTATAATTCATCAATTTGCTTAACTGATTCGCTGTCAATGCTGTTTCAGAGCAATACTTAAAAATGACCACTAGAGACGGGTGTCGAATTGTTTCGAAGCCTCGGCACATTTGCTTCAACTGTTTCAGTGTTTCATGAAGCCTCACTCTGCCCACCACTAACATTTGGTCCTGGTCTGCTGAGCGTTCACACTGGCATTTTTGACAACAAACCTAAAGATACCGAACCTAAAGGCATATTGGTTGGGTTGAATGGCGACGGAACTCACCGAACACCCCAAACAAAAGCTCCACTTGTCAAGATGCAAAGTTGTCGCATCTTGTCATTACTTCCTGTTTTTGGGTCGTTTAGAAGTATTTAGTCCGTGTTGCGTTCACATTTCATTCGAACTGCTCCAGCGTTCGTTCGGAAGTGGTCCAAGACCCATCTTTTTAGCGGTCTCGGTCTGCTTGTTTGGTGCGCACCAGGGTTCGGATGGCAGCATTCACACTTACTCAAACGAACCGCACAAACAGAGCAATCGCACCAGAGTTCGTTTTAATCGAACCAAACATGACAAGTGTGAACACACCCTAACTTGTTATGCTAAAATAACGTCTCGGGTTACTTGTGTAACCCTCGTTCCCTGAAGGAGGGAACGGAGACGTTACGTCAGTCGTGACTGACGAATTGGGATCTTGCCCGAGAGCCCAATCACATTCGAGTGTAAACTAAACAAGCCAATGACAGTTGGCGTGCGTGTTTCGCCACGCGCACCCCACCCCGCAGCGCTGGTATAAAAGGAGAGCGCGTGCAAACACACATCAGTTTTTTGCTGAGGAGCCGAGACTACGTGCCCCGGCCGTACAGTGGTGGTACAGCAACTGTGGCGACAGAACGTAACGTCTCCGTTCCCTCCTTCAGGGAACGAGGGTTACACAAGTAACCG